AATGAGGGGTGGCTATGAAACTGGCAAAGTGGCAATGTGGCGATAAAGGAAGGTTCATGGTTGAAGAGAAAGAGCCCTTCACGTCTTCTTCTCAGTTTAGGATCAGCTGCTCAGGAGTTTATAGGATGTCCCCTTTGGATTCCACTGGGGGAACCCTTGCACCACGAGGCTTGCCCACCTGGGGTGTCTTTTCGTGCTCAGCTCAGATGGCTGGATGGAGACACCTAGTAACTGCTTTTCTGAAGCTGGAGCCCTCCCCATCTGGGGACCTGCAACTTCCATCATCTTCCTGGCCAGTGGCCATGTTGGGTGGGATGATGGAACTGCAGTTGAGTGCAAACAGGGAGGGCTCTGGTTTGGGGCAGGCTGGTGTATGGGATTATGAGGCATAGGACATGATGTATTCATAGCAAAATAAAAATAAAAGGCGGGTGGGGGGGAGGAGCATCATTGTATCTGTCCGCATCCTGGATGCTAAAGGGCACATTTTGGTCTAGAATTCTTTTAGCTGGAAAATAAAAGATGATGGGCAGCTGTTAAGACCTGGCATAGGGTTTGCAACTGGCCACTGAGGGCATGTGTGTGTGTGTGTGTGTGTGCATGAAGGGGCAAAGGGGTACCCTGTCTGGCCCCACGGCCCTGTCAAATATTGAGATTTTGGGATTTCTCCCCCTAGATTTCAAATCAGCTGGTAGAATTCTCTGAGTCCTCATCTGGAGAATTCCGCTTCCGTATATTCACCCATGGGGAAGGCTCAGAGAGGACCGTAGCTTATGACATGCCCTCATAGAGGGTGCCCTAGAGGACCGTACAGCAGGGCCCAGCCCTCCCCCTGAAGTGCGCCTGATGACTCCCCCACGTCCTCCACGAATAAAGCCGAGGAAGCCGGGAGAGGCCCGTCTCTCCATCCCAGTGCTGGGCAGAAACCAGGGCAGAGTTACCAGACCTGCAAAATTGTGTTCTTGTTGATGTGGCATTCGAAGCCAAACAGGGATGTTGGGTTGGGATCTTGCGGCACTGATCCCAAGGGGCCGGAACGAAGTACGGGAAGGGGTTGCGAGCAGCTAAGTGGCAGGTTATCCAGAGCATGACGCCAACCCATGTTTTCTGCAGGTGCCTCGATTTAGCCAAGGTTTCTTGCCTCCATCTCTCCCCCAACCAACACAACCACCCCCTTCTCTCTCTCTCTGTCTCTCTCTTTCTCTGTCGAACCTTCTTTTTTTCTCCCTTCCTTCTTTTTTTTGTGCTTCAGTGATGTGTGTCTAAGACAAATAGAATGCGTCGTGGTGAATACTAAGGTTACTGGCCTTTCATGGTCCGCAGCTCCCTCTTCCCCTTCCCATCTCGGCATTGATCTTCATCTGCTGTGACAATAGCAAGACTTTTCCGCCGTCCTCCTTAAAGGACCGGAAGAAAGGAGCATATTAGGGGACTTGCCGGTGGAAGGCGAAGGTGGGAGGAGGGTTGGGAGTGCAGCCTATTGATCCGCTCTTGGGGGGGACTGATCACCAATCTATAAAGGGAGGGACATGGGGGGAGGGATGGGGGGGCAAAGATGCTCCAGGGAAAAACGAGAAAGATCTTGGGCGGAAAGGTTAAGTTGACCACTCAGCGTGAAACCACCTTCTCCTAAAGCCAGGGATGCGCTGATGTGCTTTACATGCTCTCACCTGTAGAGTCAAAGAGGTACAGGGTGCGGCCATGAGCTCCCCTGGTCTAGGCCTCTGGTCTACAAGGGTGGCTGGCCAGAGGTGCAGCCGGACTACGGTTCTAGAGTGCCCCAAAACCTGGGAGACCTAGTTTCGAATCCCTGCCTGGGGAGATACCAACGGCAAACTCTTCTTCAACCGTTGCACATACCTTGAGAACCCAACTAGGGTCACCGTTGCCTCTTTGCAGGATGGGAAGCATCCCAAAGGAGGGGCTCTGTGTTCCCCCAAACCTCTCATCTCTGTGGTTCCTCCATGGCTAATAGATCCATGGCTAATACCTGCAGCTGAACGGGTGTGGAAAGCCTGTGGCATCTCAGCCACTGGACTGAGGTTCTTGGAGGAAGACTGAGGAGGGACGGGTATCTTACACATAACAGTCAGGATATCCTGGCCTATACAGAGGTTGGATTTAAGAGCCCCCTCCCTTGGGGGGGGTATCTTGCAAGCTCCACCCAGCTCCGCACAGAGCAGGGTCCCAATCCCATGGACATTTCTTTCTGCAGGCCGGGTCTTCAATGGTTCTGCTAAGCCCATTGACAAAGGGCCGACGGTTATGGCAGAGGACTACCTGGACATAAATGGTAAGCTTTCTCTCTTTCCTTTCCATTTTGAACCGGCTAGAACCTGACAAAGAGGTGACCGTTCTTTGTTCAGCTCACAAGGGAATGAGCCTTCTCAGGTGTTAAGATTATTAAGGGAGGCCTTTCTCTCGGTCCCATCATCCTCACAGGCCCGCTTGATGGGGACACATGGGAGAGGGCCTTCTCGGTGGCTGCTCCTTCAGACTCTGGAACTCCCTGCCACTGGAGGCCCACCTGGCCCCATCTTTGCTGTCCTTCCACAAGCAGGCAAAGACCTTTCTCTTCAGGCAGGCTTTCCCTTAGTGATTGGCTGAAAGGTGGTTAATTTTTTTAGAGGACTGTCTTGTTTTTCTAGTTTTTAATATGTTTTAAGCATTGCTTTTATGTGTGAGTTCTTAATACAATATTTGTTTAATTCTTCTTTAATTCTGTGATGGTTCCCTGTTTCTTGGTTTTATACTGTTCATTTTTTTAGTATATTGTAAGCTACCTTGGAACCTTTTTGGGAGAAAGGTGGAATAAAAACAAACAAGGGAATCCAGGGGCTCCAATTCCCAACAGGAAAGAAAACGCTTTATTCCAGTCCGCCAACATCAGCAGGCATTAGAAAGTTACTTTTTCTGCACGGCTGCCCCAAAGCAGCCTCCCACGACTCTTGCAGCATTCCAGATGTGTCACTGACAGCGTCCATCATCCCCAGCCAAGATGGTCAGAGGTCCATCGAGTACCCAAAAAGCAAGAGAAACAGGGTATGCTGGAAGCCTAATGGTGTGAACAAAAACTGGGCTTTGTCTGTACTATTAGGCTTTCAGTGGTCCATCTGGACAGCAGCTGGCTCAGGGAAGACTGAGGGGGGGAGAGCAGCCAGCTCCATTGAATCTGCTCCCCAACAACTGATCCTCTGCCCTTCCTTCCTTCCTTCCTTCCTTCCTTCCTTCCTTCCTTCCTTCCTTCCTTCCTTCCTTCCATTTATTGTTCTGACATGCACTCTGTAATCCTTTCTTACTTTTTCAAAATGAAAGCTGTGAAGAGTGTGTAACAAATCCATCCCTTCCCTCCCCTTCCCTCCCCTTCCCTTCCCTTCCCTTACCGCCTTTCCCAGGCCAGCCCATCAACCCTCATGGACGTATTTACCCAGAAGAGATGATCCAGACAGGGATTTCGCCCATCGATGTCATGAACAGCATCGCCCGGGGCCAAAAGATCCCCATCTTCTCTGCAGCGGGTCTTCCACACAATGAGGTATTTGAACCCCCAAGTTGCTTTTGAAATTTTGCTCTTCCTGCTCTCCATCTTTTCCTGGACAAGGTGATGCATCTCTGAGTGGAAGGCTGTGAGTGCCGCATCTTGTCTGAGAGATCATCCATCCATCCATCCATCCATCCATCCATCCATCCATCCATCCATCCATCCATCCATCCATCCATCCATCCATCCATTGAAATATATCTGTTCTTTTCAAACATGAAAGCCACAATCCTGCAAAGGGTTTGAAAATGAAAAGGACAACTTAATCCCAAATCTCACTGGAGGGAAGCACGGTCAGCCTCACCGTATTGAGAAAATCAGAGCTGTGGTCATTGAAATCACGGACTTATGCAGAACAAGAAAATGCACTCTGTGCTCACACAGAGGCACTCTCATCAGAGGAAGGGTGTGTATATGCTTGAGAGAGAGAGAGAGAACCATTCTTTTCACTTCTGATTAGAGATGGGCTCAGACTGCCAGTTTAGCAAATGCCAGTTTGTTTATTGGCCAAACAGATTGTTTGGCACTTCCCAGACCCGCCTCCTCCTGTCGGCACGGCCTCTGAGTGGACGACCACCAGAAGAGGCGGGACTGGGAAGGGCACTCAATGAACCGGCACGAACTCCCGGTTCGGCAATCATGCCCATCTGACAGCAAGAGCTCTTTGTGCAGTTGCCTCCACCCCACCCGGGAGAAGTCTGACAAGAAATCTCCTGGAATTTCTCAGAGGTTTCATGGCCATTTTTTTTTCCCCAGCAGAAAATGCCAGGCTGCGTAGGATTATTACAGAATAGCATCTTTCCTGCGTGGGGTTCACCTGGAAGGTGCAGAAGAAACCACAAGCTGCTCAGGATGGTTACAGTTCCTGTGCAGGATGCTCTTCTACCTGTGTGGGATTCACCAGAAAAGGGATAAAGTGGCATAGAGTTTGGCCATTTCCTGTGAACCACAGGGGGAAAAAAGAGAAATTAAAAAGGGGAATGAGGCCCACTAAAGTTCCCTGGCTGGATAAGCTCAGTGGGTTAAGTTTCTGCTTGCAGATCCAGAGGTTGGGAGTCTGATTCTCCCACTGGGCATCCTGCGCGCAGAGCCGACCTGTATGGCTTTGGGCATCCTGCGACCGTCCCAGGGTGTCCTCAGAAGAGGGGAAGGATAAAACTACTTCCCTACCTGGTAAACCCTGAAAAAGGAATTGCCCTAAGCCGAAATTGACTTGACAGCACATTATTTTTCAAAAACTACTTTTCTGGAAAAAAAATATACTAGGCACAGTCAATCAAGATTATAAAAACATTGAATGGTGTTATACAACAGATACAAGTTTTAACCGAAAACCCAAGTATCTGTTAAATATCGGCGTAGCATAAATGCTGTTCCTAATATTGCTGTTTTTTGGTAGCTCTGATGGGAGTTATTTCTGAGATCTGCAACTGCTTATAGGACTGTGTGAAATTTCTTGCTATTGTTCCCAACGCCCCGATGACTATAGGGGACACCCAAGTGTGTTTCTTCCAGAGGTGAGCTGTTTCGATAGCCAGGTCGCTGTCCTTTGTTAGTTTTTCCAGTTCTTCATTTTCAACTGTGGCACCCCCTGGAATTGCAATGTCGATGATTTTTATTTATTTATTTACTTATTCGATTTATATCCCGCCCATCTGGTATATTCGACCACTCTGGGCGGCTGATCCGGACATTTCTTCATTCTGTCACTACTAGGTCCCGGTGTGTTATGCTCAAGGTGTCTGTCCATTTGGATCCGGAAATCCCACAAGATCTTGCCTTCCTCATTTTCTGCCACCTTTTCCACCTGATGTTCCCACGGGTTTTTGGAGGCTGGCAGTTTATCTTTTTTGCATAATGACCTGTGCACTAATTTTGCCACTCTATCATGTCTCCTCCTCCTCCTCCTCCTCCTCCTCCTCATCATCATCATCATCATCATCATCAAAGTTCCCTGACTTGTGGGAAGCCATAAAACTTTGCAGATGCAGAGGGAAGTCTGAGGTCCCGGTGTGTTATGCTCAAGGTGTCTGTCCATTTGGATCCGGAAATCCCACAAGATCTTGCCTTCCTCATTTTCTGCCACCTTTTCTACCTGATGTACCCACGGGTTTTTGGAGGCTGGCAGTTTATCTTTTTTGCATAATGACCTGTGCACTAATTTTGCCACTCTATCATGTCTTCTCCTCCTCCTCCTCATCACCATCATTATCAAAGTTCCCTGACTTGTGGGAAGCCAGAAAACTTTGCAGATGCAGAGGGAAGTCTGAGCAGGAAGTCTTGCCATGGGGAGGCTCAGAAAGCCGCTGAGAACATGTTGTGACTCTCGCGGAGGGAGCCCTGGCCATCAGCACAGTTCCTCAGGCTGAGGCGAACCCCCACTTTTAGGATCTCTGTGTCCCTTTGCTCACCCTTTAAAAGTCAGCACGGAAGACGGGAGGCACAGATCAGATGTCTTCCTGCTCTGTTGTTGAAGGCAACGAGAGAGGCTCGCTGGGCGGTGGCAGCCGGAGTGGAAGCCTGTCCGTTCCGAGCGAAATGCCAGGTGGCGGCTGCCAGCCCGGCCTCCTTCACCCTGCCCTTTGAGAAACCTGAAATACCAAGGCTAATCTGTGGAACACGTCTCAGAACAAAGGGGGGGGGGGCGAGCGTGCAGCTTGGAAGGGAGGGGGGCCCCCATTTGGGCTTCTCAACAACAGCAGCCGGCATGTGTCTCTGCACTCACAAACACACACACACACACCCAAGGAGAGGCGTAATTGGCTGGAAAGCTTGGCCTGACAAATAGGGAGTGACAGACAAAAGTGAATATGATGAACTCGAAAAGGCCCAGGGTGGTGAGTGGATGCTCTGTGGCATTGTTGGGAGAGGACCGGAAGAGCCTTTGGCTTTCCCTCCTTCCAAGGGTTAGGTAAGTGGGTGGCCAGTAAGAGGACTGTCCACTCATCGAAGGACTGCCAGGGGTGTCCTCTGTTAGATGAGTCGCTCGCTCCAAGATCAGAACCACAAAGAGTGGAAATCAGGGGCCGTGAAGTGGCCCTTCGTCCCCTGTGTCCACAGCGGGCAGGAGATGGATGCCAGCCCGAGCAGAAGGCGGGCAGTTTTTCCGCTTGGACAAGATGCATGGGAATTTCATTTTATTTTATTTACATGCTCAAACCATGTCTGATTTTTCTCCAGGGGAAATGATCGTAGGGAACTTGACGCAGCTGAGAATTCTGTCTTGTCCTCTCCTGGAGAAATGCGTGACCTCCCGCGCTTCCGGTCAGCCCCGAACCCTTGAGGCCTGTTCTTTCTCACAGAGCCCGGGTCATCTCTCTCGCTCTGGAACCTATGAGTTCCTTTGAAGCTGTGAGGAGTCTCATCTTCTTTTTTCACTGCTCGGAAGCCATGGTCTGGGTGCACAACGGAGCCTCCCCAAGCAGGGTTAGGAGGGAAAGGCTTCACGGTTGGCTTTTCGCCGCAGAATCTCTCCTGCGGTTTTGCATGGATTTAGGCACAGGGTGAGGCCAATGGGTCTGGGTGAGGGTGACCACAATATCAGGAAGATGCCAGGGAGCTCCCCAACGCAAGAGGGAATGAAACAATGGCCCGCACATTCAAAGCTTGTCCGTATTCCAGGCTTACCGATTGGATTTTCTACACTTACAACGTGATGGGTTTTTTTGCTTCTTGAAATTGAGATTTGAGGGGGTGCTTTTAGTCTACAAATGATACCATGTCTAGATGGGTGGCATATGCAGTTAAGGGGTTACTAGTAGGATAAACTAACAAATCCGGTCCTTTAATAAATAAATAAATAAATAAATAAATAAAATACCAACGGATTCTTGATCAGACTGTCCGGGTTCCTTGTAAATAAACACCTGGTTTAGGATTCCCTTGCTCCCTCCTGTGGCCGCCCACAAGGGTTCAATCTGAGCTTTGGAAAGTGACTTCTTTGAATTGTAACTCACAACCTCCTGCCTACCCGGCATGAAGAGTACCTTAGCATTTCTTGATGTAAACGGATGTACAAAATAGAGTTTGGAGAAGTTCCTTTTTAAAGAATAAACACAAAGATTGAGAGAGAGAGAGAGAGAGAGCTATGGCCAGGAGCTATGTTGGCAGGGTAGGTGGGTGGGTGTGGGTGTGCTCCCAGGAACCCCCACCCACAATGGTCAGTGGCCAGGCTGGTAGAGGGCTTCTGGGAGTTGTTGTCCAGCCTCTGCTTCACCTAGTCCTTGATAGGGTTAGCTTCTTCCTCTCCCTCCTCCAGGCATTGGTTTGGAATCTCCTTCCCACTAGAGGAGAAATCGGACCTTGGGATTCCACCCCCCCCCTTCCAGAGAGGACCACAGCCACTTCCTGGGAATACTGGAGCTTCACTGGGTTGGATTCTGCCCCCTCCCAGCCTGCCCTTTTGTGGCTTCACCAGTCCCCAATCTTCCATTTCTCTCTCCGCTCACAGATCGCAGCTCAGATCTGCAGGCAGGCCGGCCTGGTGAAGAAGTCGAAAGACGTCATAGATTATCACGAGGACAACTTCGCCATCGTCTTCGCTGCTATGGGGGTGAGTCCCAGTCGGGTCTTGGGGAGCATCGCCAGAAGAACCTTGGGGATAAAGAGCCTCCTCTCGGCTTTTCCAGCACCGGTGCCGATAAATGATTCCTTTCCACATCTGTCAGGGTGGCCATCCGGGTGACCATCAGCAGAAAATTTCCCCCTTTTTTTTACTTTCCGGGCTCCGTCTGTGGTGGGATTTCTTTCCCTCCCTCAGCATCATCCCCCTTTGCTCTCTGCCTCTAATGCTGAAACCTCTGCCCGTACCCTGCCAGGTCCGCTCTGCCCACCTCCAACTCCTCTCGTCTGGATCACCTCCTTCTGCCCCTCGGAGTGTCTCTGCCCTACAGGGATCGCAGGCGGATTCCTCTTTAGACTGTCAAGGCTCCAACCTGTGAAGTCCTGAGATTTATAGTCGGGTGACTTACTTAGAATTCGCTGCTCTAGTTCAGGAGGAAGCACGAGTGCTTTCTAGCATAGAGAAGCTGCTGGAGAGCTCAGTGGTTGAGGTCTTTGGCTGTGGAGCCAGAGGTTGGGAGTTCGATTCCTCCCCCCCCCCGGTGTCTCCCTGACAAGGGGCTGGACTGGATGATCCTGAGGGTCCCTTCCAGCTCTGCAGTTCTGGAAGGGACCCTATTTCCAGATTCCAAGGAGTTACAACTGACCTGAGATCGCTCTTAACAGGGGAGTGTCAATATCCTTTCTTTCACTGCTTCGTCCCTCTTTGCCTGTTCAGAGAAGACACTCTTTCTGAGGGAACTACCTCGCTTTATCGGTCTGCCTCCTTTTTCTCTCCCAGCACTTCCCACTGAGTTGTGTGTTTTGGTGCTAAAGGGGCCCCCTCTTTCCGGTTCCTCATTTGTGTGCAATTCTAGACAGCCTCATCATGCCACTGAGCAAAGATAAAAATGTACAAAAATCATCACGTTGGTTGGAAAGGGTTCTTTAAAAAAAAAAATCTTGAAGGTGAGAGTCTCCTGTTATCGTGATACAACAGGATGCAGACAGCTTCAAGACTTGTTTTGGCACGCGGGGGAGCTTGTAAAATTCTGGCCCTTCTTCAGTTGAGTGATTCATCGAGTTTTTTTTTTTGAAATGTCCTGCCCATAAGGAGCAGGGCAAGAGGAAGCCAGCCAAAGCAATGAGAAGCCTGGTTTCCTCCTTCTTTTTCCTGCCTGGGTGAGCTTTGAGCATCTCCGGGGCTGGCAGGTGGGCAAATTGGTAGCGCCTTGCTCCCCTCTAGTGGAGAGTCTGGTGATGGCAGGCAGCCCTTGTGCCTTCGGGCGCTTCCAGCCCCAGAGCGGGGGACTGGCTCAGCCTGAGGGGCCCATTTCCTGCCTCCCCCCCCCCGAATTGCACAGGCCACACAAATACCAAAGTAACACAGCAAACAATTGAAGTGGCTAGAGGTCTTCTTTCCATTTGGGGGAGAAATGGTGTCGGGGGCTGTTCAATAAAGGGGTGTTTGATCTGTTCCAAAAACGCATCGCCCCTCCTGGAGACTTCCAGGAGCCAAAATTCACAGAAAGAAAGTTTTTAAAAGAGAGGTTTGTGGAAAGGCAGGAGAAGCCACAAGAAGTCACAAGTGCACCTGTTCTTTGCATATCTGATAGAAAGGATATGATGCAGTTTTTCAGTCTTTCCCTCCTTCATGGATTATTTGTGCAAAAAAAAATACATTTAACGCTGAGCCATCCCACTCTGTTTAGCACCCGCTCCAGCATCCAGGTCTTCCACTCCTGAGTCACAGAATGATAAGAGTTTGAGGGGATCCCGAGGGTCATCTAGTCCAATCCCTGGTCAATGCAGGAAGACATTGCTGAAGCATCCTTTAGCCAATTTCAGTTTAAAAGCCTCCTGCGTTAAGGATATTAAGGCAGAAGCCTAAACTAACCCCATTTTACAACTCATCACAAAGTCGCCGATGGTTGCAAAACTCAGTGTATTTGGTTGTTGTGGGGTTTTCGGCCAAAGAACCCGAAAAACCCACAACAACCATCAGATCCTGGCCGTGAAAGCCTTCGAGAATACTCAGCGTATTTGTTTGTTTGTTTATTTGTTTGTTTATGCATACCCCACCTCTCTCCTAGAGAGGATGCAAGGTGGCCAACATAATTAAATGTATGCTTGCTGAGTTTCCACAGACATGAGTAGAAAATCTGTGCTGGCTCGGGAATTATAGGAGCTGTAGTACGCAAAGCGGTGTTTGGGAGTTCTGCTCCGGAAGACCTCCTAGAAGCGTGGACGGAGAGCCTCCTGCTAGAACTTGCTTTCGCTGCTTGCCCAGAATGCTGTGTCTTCACTGAAGCCTCAGCCCCAAAATGCCAGGGACCGCTTTCCCCACCTCCTGTGACTCGGCCTACTGAAAACTCTCCTTCCAGGTGAACATGGAAACCGCCCGTTTCTTCAAGTCAGACTTTGAGGAGAATGGATCCATGGAGAATGTCTGCCTCTTCCTCAACCTAGCCAATGACCCCACGTGAGTCAG